AAAAAAAAAAAAAAAAAAAAAAAAGTAATTACTAAATTTTAATATTTTTTCTCAATTTATGATTTGAACCCATTAGATTAAAATGCCATAAATTGTTCATAGTTAGAAAGTATTTACATTCTATCAGTTTTAACATTACTTTCCAGTTTTTTGAATTAGTAATTATCTTGCTCATATAATCTATTCATATTTTTGATTCAGATAGCCTACATCACTTCCAGCAGATTGGTATTTTAAGAGTCTTAGAGCTATGGTGTATATAACCTTGATATTGTTATGTGTCACTTAATGACAGAGGTATGTTTTGAGAAAAGTATCCTTGTGGGAGCATCATAGAGTGTACTCACACAAACCTACATGATGTAGCCTACTTCACACCCATGTTATATGGGTATAACATATTTGTCCTGGGATACATCCATGTTCAACATATTACTATACTGAATACTGTATCAAAACGTGCCTAAACTTAGAAAAGATTTAGTAAAAATATGGTATTAAAATTTTACGGGACCACAGTTGTATATTCAATGTCTTGTCGACTGAAATGTTATGTGATGCATTACTATCACTTAGGAAGGGAAATCCTTTGATAATCTAATTCTGCCATGCCCAGCGTCACATTTCTAAGTGAGGCTCGGATGCATGAGTCCTGAAGTTCTTGCTGTGGTGGGATGAATTTTTTGCATCCCAGAGCACAGTGTTTAGTGTAGACATTTAGTAAATACTTGTTGGCCTGTATGCACTTTCCTGGTAGGCGCTTCGTGAAAGATTGGCCATGTCTTACTCATCTGTGTATACTCGTTGTCAAGTGTAGTGGGTACTCTTTAAATGCTTGTGATCTTGTTGGGCTTAATGTGATTTTTGAAGGTAGCAGTGCCTGGAAGTCCTGAATCATGATATAGTAAACTTGAAATAACTCAGTTCCTTTTTTGTGTTGAACTAGATACTATGTTAGGTATCAGGTGTTAGATCTTTAGAAAAATTGGGGGACGAAACTTTTAACACTGTAAATTTTGTTCTTTAACTTATGTTAGTCACTCTGATATTGGGAAAGAACATGACTTAAATTTGGGAATAGAATACCTTAGGTGAGCTAAAATAATGCAGTGTTTCCATGAGAGCCAAGTGTGACAATATGAATTGAGTGACCCTCTGATTGTTACTGTAGGCCACCTTTTACAATCTTGGTTTCATTTTACGAGAATATGTTTTTCAGCATGTAGACTTTCGTTTGGAATGTGACTTTCAGAGTTGGGACTACCTTGGCAAACTGTCCTAAATTATATTTTAAACAGCTTTAGTTTGTATTTGACATGTTATGCTTCTTGTTGGTGTTACATAAAGAACACTGTGAATTCTTTTATTCTTACCTCTTCTTTTTAAAATCGATTAGAATAGTGTGTTTTTTATTTTTATTTATTTATTTTTGAGACAGAGTCTCACTCTGTCACCTAGGCTGGAGTGCAGTGGCGCTATCTTGGCTCACTGCAACCTCTGCCTCCCAGGTTCAAGCAATTACTCTGCCTCAGCCTCCTGAGTAGCTGGGACTACAGGCACATGTCGCCATGCCTGGCTAATTTTTTGCATTTTAGTAGAGATGGGGTTTCACCATGTTGCCCAAGCTAATCATGAACCTGTGAGTTCAGCCATTCCGCCTGCCTCGCCCTCCCAAAGTGCTGGGATTACAGGCATGAGCCACCGTGCCTGGCCAACTTTTATTTTTTATTTTTACTTTTTTGAGGCAGATTCTTGGTCTGTCACCCAGGCTGGATTGCAATGGCGTGATATCAGCTCACTGCAGCCTCTGCCTCCCTAGTTCAAGTGGTCTCCTGCCTTGACTTCCTGAGTAGCTGGGATGACAGGAATGTGCCACCATGGCTGGGTAATATTTTTTGTGTTTTTAGTAGGGATAGGGTTTCGCCATATTGGCCAGGCAGGGCTCGATCTCCCGCCTTGGCTTCCCAAGGTGCTGGGATTATGGATGTGAACCCTCTGTGCCCGGCCTGGTTATTTTTTTAAAAAATTGAGGAAAATTTTCAAGCTTTTCTTTTGGAAAGTACCAACCAACACTCCATTCTTTGAATCGCCAGGGTAAAATTTGGGCTGAGCAGATGCAGAGCCAGTTCCATAGGCTGATTCCTATTTGAACATGTAGAGTCATATGGGTAATAGCCTTCATAGTGCCATCTTTGAACTACGTTCATTTTTTTTTTCTACTAATATTATTACTGAAAGCGTTGCACAGTAGAGTAGAATGGCGTTTAATTTATAGGAAGCAAATCATCTCACATCTATCATTGCTGGTTCTGATGTCAGTCTTAGTCTGTCTGGCTTACCAACTGCCAGATCAGTCTCTTCCACTCAGACAGAAGATATTTAAGACCTCTGTCACCTACAGTAGGAAGGATCTGGAATTATTTTGGTGCCCTGAGCATCCATTGCTCACAAAGATATGCTATCTCACCATGTCCTTGGGATGTGCTCAGTTTGCCTGCAAGATTTTCATTTTTAAAGCACTTTTCTCATAAGGAGTTTTAAAATAATGGCAAACAACTTGTGTGTGAGGCATCTAGAATATTTCAAAATAGTTATAGATGGAGTTAGGATATAGAATCAGGCAATTAGTAAGCATATCTCTAGTGCTTTTCCCCTACTCTGTAGGATCCCACAAGTCATTTAAACAGATGATAATTTTTTTGAGTATTTAAAAAATAACCAGAGAAGGAATTCCACAGCCTTTCCTTAGTAAGTGATAAGTAGTCCAGAGAGTTGATGTTTCTTGTATGGTTTCTTTTTGCATTCCAGGGCCTTTGTGGAACTGGGACCTTGTCTTAAGCCTGTTTAGGCACCCTAACAGCCTGATCTCCCTCTCCTTCCTATCTCCCCTACCCTTAGGGAGCAGGGACCCATTCTTGTCCATAGGTAGGTGGTTAGGGTCTTTCAGAGCCAAGATCCTGTGGTACTGTTTTCTGGACTCACGTGAACTCACCAGATTGACCCCGTAGATA